CTGTCAGAAATGGTGTAAGGTCTCCTGATTGGGCAGGGGGTTGGACTAGATGACCTACAAGGTCCCTTCTATTAATCTGTTTAAGTGTGCTGTTCAATTTCCTGCAGTTTGCCGGAGTCATCCGTCCAGAAAGAGCTGAAATGCTCCCTCAACTCGTACCTGAGTTTCCTATTGTGGGAGCCCTTAACCAGCACTGCAGAATTAAACTCTTCTCCGCATCCTTTTCCCTTTCATAAAGTCCTTTTACAATTCCATATTTGAAAGTACTACTTTCCCAATTCCCACTCTGTTATAAATACCAGGCAGGATAAGACTAATTCTCTAATGTAGGAGCGCATAATTACTATGGCAAGGGTCACTATTAGAACCACAGGGTATGTAACCAGGATGTTCTGATCTCCTGTACGTTTACAGCTGGGGTTTTGGTTGTTGGGGGTATGGATAAAAACTAGCCTTATTTGAGAGATTGAGGACGACAAAATCAACCTATTAATGCTTCATAAAGCTTAAGATACCCTTTTGACCCATGAAGTCCCCCAACTATTCCCGAATAAATCATTATTATTTATTTATTTACTTTATTAATAATTTACAAGATGACTCTGGGCAATCATACCTCGATATAGTTATTTTCAACTGCAATTATGACTGTAGAAGAAAATGCCAGTTACTGACCTCCCTTGAAATGATCTTTGCTGTAGGAACATCACAGATATCAGATAAAGCAATGAAATCCCCGAAGGATGACATCCTATCAGCACCTGGGAAAAAGTAATGTTTCCAAACTAAGAAACTCTCACTGGGTGAGACACGCGTTATGTACAGAAGAAGGAAGACAGCAGCTGGATGGAACCTGCCCCAGGCTGGATCCAGCTCTAGAGCTTTAAAAGGTGTAGAAGCTATTTCTTTATTTGGACAAATCAGGTATTTTTTCAACTACTACTTCATAGCAACTGGCATTTATAAAGTAACTGAACAGCACGAGGTTGTCAGTCATTTCTGAAAGAGATGTGAGAAAATGCCTTAAACAGTTTGGCCACTGCCATTGTCCCCCATTATACACCATTACACAGAGAAGGAGAGCAGCAATTCCAACCAGAATGTTAAATGAAAATGTGGTCTTCTTTTGAGACCCCCCCCCTCACCTCTTGCTCTGGCATATGCGGCGGCCAAGGGCGTCAGAGTAGGGTACAAGTCATGCACCATGCAGACGCGAGCTTCTTCCTCGCTGAGAGGCACACCAACCGCGGCACCTGGCAAGAGAAAGAGAGTAAGAGCCGCTTGCCAGAGGTCCGAAGGCGACTTCTCAAGTTACAAAAGTCTAACAATATTCCTCACATGTTGCCCTGAGACCCACTTAATAAATGCACATCGTTACTTTTCATTATATTGTACACAACTTTATTAGAAAGTCAATTTCTTTCACCAAAACCCTGACATGTTTTTTTACAAGGCCATCTCAGAGTCTCAGGTAAGTGTAAGAACTTGGACGTTCGCTGTTACCTGCTGGGCTGACGTGCTTGAAGGAAGAGGCAGCGGAAACGCCCAAGGCCTCCTTCAGCTCCCTGACCAGCTGCCAGGCGTTCAGAGCATCACACAGATTTATAAACCCCGGGGAACCATTCAGAACTGCGAAGAGACGAGAAGGCTCACTCAGCTATAGTATACACATTATAATATTATATATTTCACAAAGTTATGTACATTGGCACATGATGTCAGAGAAATTTCCTAGAATGTATAAAGATACCGTATTTTTGGACTACGGGACGCACCTTGTATCCAAAAAATACAGCACTTCAAATGTATTTTGAAATGGGAACAACATGAAGGGACATTTTATCACTCCTAGTGTAAAAAAGCTAAAAAAAACATTAGATCCAAATACATGCTTTGACACAGAGAATTTTAAAAATTAATATTGAAACCAGAAATATTCTTTTTAGGATTAATAGACAGCCATATATTGGAACAGAGTAATCTGGACAATTATTGATTTGGGTTCCAAGCAGGTGCACTTTATCGCTTGCTCAGGGTTGCCGTCTGCAAAGAAATTAGTGAAAATGCTTGTGAAACACACTTATCGCCTGCACGGATTGCCCAAGAGGATCATTTCACACCTTGGAGTCCAGTTCACAGCCACGCTCTGGAGGGAGGTCCTGAGATCCATTGGATCCACACAAGAACTGATTCATCCCAGCATGAACCGCGCAGCAGAGAGAGCCAATGCGGTGGTGGAACAATACATCCGGTGTTAGGTGGACTATCACCAAGACAACTGGTCAGACTTGCTACCCTTTGCCGAAGTGGCGTAGAACAATGCGCTCCACAGCAGCAGGGGATTAATGCCTTTCCAGAGTACCAGTGGCATGGGATTTGTTCCCATGCCTGAGCTGCCTAGAGAACCTCCCTCCTCCAGTTCTCTGAATGAATGGATGGACACTCTAAAGAAAGGAGGGGAGAATACGAAGAAGGCTCTAGCAGATGCAGCAGAAGCCTTCAAGAAGCAAGCTGATAAAACATCACTCGCTCCAATCCCCCTTCCGTGTGGGGGACAAAGTTTTTGTGTCTACCAAATACATAAGATTAAGAATGCCTAGCAAGGAATTTCACCGATGGACTGGGGACGCAGCACCTTTTCAGATCTCCTGGCGCCTGGCTTCGGAGGCTCCCCAATGACTGCCAGCAGTCTTGGGGCGTTCAGGCGCCCCTGCAAAGCATGGCTATTGGCCAGCGCAGTCATAAGCACACAGGGAAGACAAGGGAGGAGGTGGGGAAGGCAAGGATGGAAAATTCTCACACCAATTTTAAGAAAATCAGGAGCCAAGAACTAAGTCTCCTATGAGGCCGATAGACTTAGATTAAACTGGGGGCCAGGAAGTGAGGCAGAGGGGAATGGCCTCAATTTAACCTCAGTCTCAAGGCAAATGGGGTCTGAGAACATCCCATCGATGACTCCTCCCACAGGGTCCCCTAGGAGACTGGGGGTCCTCGGGGCACTTGGTTCTGTTCTTCACATGACAAAGCTTTAGCCAGACCATCAATGTGCTGCAGCACTTACTCATCAAGGGCTGAAGATTTAAACTCAAAAACATAGGCGGTTTTAAGCTTAAGCTATTAGGGAAATGAAAACAATGGGTGTGACCTACCAGATAGAATTACTGTTACTACATAGCGTAGTCTTTTGAACAATGCTGCTGTTTATTAATGATCCTGCTGAAGTGCCTTCAAAGTGGGGATTCTGAAGGCCTCCTACCTGAGAGAGGGAGTCGAGGCCGTGAAGTATAGAGTTGAGCAGGAGTTTGATGGGGATTCATGCCGTATCTCAGTGGAAGTTGAGATACTCCTTTGCTGTACTCTTTCCTAAAGTAGTCGGAAATTGCGGTGTCGTATTGAGCAGTGTGAGTAAAGGCCTATAAGAAGCGGGAGGGAGATGCAGCTCTCATCAAAGTAATGAAAATATGAAAATTATCTGTGTAATAGGCACATTGCATAGGTTGCCATAACACTTTACCTTTAAAGCCAACTGACGCCGAATTTCCAAACTGGTATCCTTATCAGAGGAGTTTTTCATTTCTTTTGCTATATTAGTGTAATCCCCAGGATCACAAACAACTGTCACCCGGGCGTGGTTCTTTGCTGCAGCTCTCAGTAAAGCAACGCCTCCTGTGATAAGAATGGAAGCATAGAAAATATCATATTCAGCACAGAAGTTATTGAAAAAGGTCAAAGGAATGGTCAGACTTCAGCTAATGAGAAGAGAGGATTTATCAGATCAAAGAAAGAAGAAAACCACCCTCTATGATACCCAAGCAAAGGATTACAAACAAAAACCAAAACTGATGTACAAAAAGTATTTTGCACCACTGGAGTTCATACTGTTATTGCAATACTTTACTATCAGCATATATTTGAAAAAGGTTCAAAGTAGTAACGATTTTCATTTCCACAACTTATTTTGGAAGACAACCTGCAATGAGTTTCTTTCAAGAAAGCTGCCGATAACGTTCTCTTTCATAAGATGTAAGGAGGCACAAGAGGTTTAGCTACCTTTCAGTTCTTACTGACCATCAGGAAAGTACCAGGAAGAAGAATATTGGAGAGAGCTATCATGTAATGCTTAGTTCTTGAATGAAATTGTCAGAGCCCTAAAAGTGATACTGCCATTCCACTGGGAGGAGGAGGAGGAGGGCCTTGGAGTCCATTCATTAGCAGTCCCTGTGACAACTGATATTTAGCATGGCCATGTGGGACGTTTCACTTCAATGCCTAACGGAAGATAGCCATGGAATGTATGTTTATTCGGTTCTCAGGGCAGTTGATAAAGGAAACATCTTCACACTTGTGTATTGGTTAGAATTTGCATTTTAACAAATGGGAGGGGTCTCTACTGCTTTAATTCTACTTGCATTGCCTAAGGGGATTCAGTTGTTGCTTTGAATTTAAATGGCCTCCATTCTTCTTAATAAAAGGTTCCTTTTGAAATACTGTTTCAAGAGCCTTCACTTTCTTAATTTAGGAGAGGAGTCCTTAGAGAAATCTTCATTTGGATTTCAAGCAAAACTGAATGTAAACAGGAATCTTGGATATTAACAAAGTGAATTTCAAAAATAATATGTAGACAGAAGTTAATGAAAGGAGCTGAATATGGCAAATTGTTTCAGGAAATGAAGAAAAGTTAGCACTTTTTAACTTTATTTTTGTTCACTTCTACCCATTTCATCAGGAAAAGAGAAAGGTGCAACAATAGTAGGATTGAAATATGACCACTGACTATCTTTTGGCTCTGGATGAATTAAATCTCCTATCATCAAATCAAGAAAAAGAGACTCAAGAGAGCTAATGAGGACAGACTGGAGGAGCCAGGAATGTTTAGCCTTGAGAAGAGAAGGCCGAGGAGGAGGGACATGACGGTGCTCTTCAAATACCAGGGAAAGACCAAAATTCTGCTCCACAGCACAGGATGCAAAATTATGGATTTAAATTCCAAGCTGACAGATTCCAATTAAATGCTAGAAAACAATTCTCACAGCATAAGTAGTTCCATAGCAGAACCATTTTACCTTCATGAAGCCATGCATTGGGGGTGCCCTGATTTGAGCAAAACATCCATGAGCAGAGGCTGGACTCAATGACCTACATGGCCCCTCCTTCCAACTTAGTTCTAAATCTTTCCTTAGAAGAGTCTCACACAACAAAACGGGAAGGTTAATGGAAGGAAGTATATATGAACACAATATGCAAAGACTGCTTTCACTTAAAATGTGACGGTATCCACAAAGCACTGACTCAAAGCAATGTGTCTGCAACATATAGTCCATGCTGACTTACCAATATCAATCTGTTCAACAGCTTCTTGTATAGTGACATTTGGGGAGGCCACCGTTTTGACAAATGGGTAGAGATTGCAAACTACAATTCTAGAAAAATAAGCATGGAGTAACTTTAAATTATATTCAAAACACAGAAGTGCCATTTGCATGGCCCTCTGCCAACACAAGAATTCTTTTATCATGTCTCAGTGTAACGCAACTGTTATTTTATCCCTGCTGTGGCCGATGAAGTCTTATGCTAGTCTTATCCTGAATCATCACATGAGAATTATTTTAAGGCAGTTCAAGACACTGGTGCTCTGGTGAGGGGGATCTTCTTATATTTGTATCAAGTATGGCTAAAGGAAGAGCACTACAATAAACCAAGGTAAGAGCATAATTCTGTCATCCTAACTCACAGACTGCCCACATTATATGCTGCTTCTAGAATGTTTGTGAACGAGGGAAAATAAATATAGAGGGAATAGTCTCCGTAATGATAATTTCTCAGATACAGTGCAGTTCCAAATAGGATCCTATTCATCGACCAGCATTAAGGGGCTTAATCCTATTGAAAAGTCTTTTGATCCTTTTAGCTGCAAATGAATTTGACTTTGAATATTGAAAAAAATCTTTTTTCAGAATATTGAAAATACTGAAAGGTTAGAAAAGTCATACTCTTAACTTTTACTTTCACCATGACTGCCTTGAGTTATAAGTTTCCAAACTCCTGGCCTCCTGGAAGGGCCTGAAAGCTCTGTGTAGTATGTTGGGAGTAGCTAACAAGGTAGAGAAAATCCCCAGCCTGAAGCTACCCATCATCTTTGTTTCTTAGTTTTTCTAATTAACTCTCCTAATTTTAATTTCATTCTTTACTTTTTTACTTTTTATTATACCAAAAACCAGCCACGGTTGCTGTATTAGTGAGATGGGTACATAAACATTTAATAAATAAATAAAACCGATATACATTTTATTTCTATATCTTTCTTGGAATACTTGTGATTCCAACACTGAATCCACCAAGTATAATCTTTTCTTTCAATATTGGATTAAAGAAAAGGATAAAAGTTATGTAGTGGCAGACTAAGGAAAGTAAGAGGCCAAAATCTCAGCATCGAAGCCTGGCCCTGACACTTTGTCCTCTTCTTACGTCTGAAGTTGACTTAGATGTTGAAATTCAAATAAAGCCAGGTAAACCTCCAAAGGGCATATTTGCCAATGCTTTAAAGCAAATGATGAGAAGTCAAGATTTGACAATCTCTTGCACAATTACAAATCCCTCCCTACTTTCACAAAAAAAACATCCCATCAATTCTGTCCATTCACAAAGAGAGAAGAGAGGTGGCTTTACAATGAAAAACCTTTCATCTCTATGCAAGTTAACTTCCATCAATTGATATCAAAGGTTGACTTTATAATTATTTATTAACCCCCAACTACCCTTTTTACCTTACAAGGCTGAAATCCAGTCTTTCCATGTCAGCATTATCTTGTGGAATGTCACGAGCCAGGATGCCTAGATTGGGTGGGAGGAAAAGAAGGAGAGGATCAGAAAATGTCAGACAGTCCGGTCCCTTCAAGCCCTTGCTAAAGATGGCCAACGGGGGATGGCAGTGGGACCTATAACAAGGAAATGATTTAAAACAGTTGGCGTATGAAGAAAAAAAAAAGTACCATCACATTCCCTTGTAAAGGGTTTACTCCTGAAAGCAAGATAGCTCCTTCTCCTTTAATCCTAGCCATCCCAATATTGCTTGAAACACACCAAGAAATTGTATATTAAAAATGTTACTGGAGAAACAATATCTGCAAAGCACACTATTTTAAGTTATTCTATAGAAGATTACTTTCAGCCTTTGATGTGTGAAACAAGGTATCAAAAATAAAATGCCTTTTCCTGTCACGCACATCGATCCTGCTGAAAAATGCATTCGTATGGAGGAATCCTTGATGACAACTTTCCAGTCTGAACGGATGCAGCTGGGACCCAAGTTAGCTACGTGAAGAACAGCAGGTTTAGGCCAGCCTTCTCCAGCTGACTATTCCTGAAATGACCATTGGCTGACCTGAAGGGTCCTTTTCTGTATACGCTGCGAGGAGAGTCCAAGCATGGGTTAAATTCTGCCTGACTGCCCTGGACTGAATTGAAAGAACTTTAGCCGTGTCTCCTCTTCCGGCTCCTCAGATTCTTTTCGATGGAGGCATGGACCTGTAACGCTGTTCGAAGGTGGTTCCATGGAGTCTGTTATTAGATCCAGTCAAATAGATTGCAAATTCGGAAATGAAAGTCACAAATCCACATCAAGTCAGTCCAGATCAGACACAAATGGAAGCTGTGAGGGAGACCATAGGATGGGGTTGGACTCTCCTCGCAGCGTACAGAAAGGGACCCTTCAGGTAAGCCAATGGCCGTTCTCCTGTACGCTGCTTGGAGAGTCCAAGCATGGGATATACCCAAGCTAAATGTCACTAGGGCGGGAGGAACGTGATTCGGTGGTCTCTCCAGAGGCATGGATACCCTGAAGGTCCCAACTCGTCCAATTTGTAAACTCTAACAAATTGGGATGGTGAGGCCCATGTAGCCGCTCTGCAGATCTCTTCTATGGGCGCTTGGGTTGCCCAGGCTGCTGTGGATGCGGCACTTCTTGTAGAGAGGGCTGTGATTCAGTGTGGTACTTGCTTAGGCTGGAGCTGATAGGCAAGGGCGATGCGAGCATGCAACCATCAGCCGATGGTGGCGGAGGTGACTTTACACCCCATGGTAGCAGGTTGAAAAGAAAAGTGATTCCGATCGCCTGAGCGCCGCAGTGCGCTTGATGTATTTACGAATGGTTTGACGCACATCCAGTTTGTGCCATCTGCGCTCCATAGGATGTCTTGGGTGAGGACAAAAGTCTGGAAGAATGACTTCCTGGCTCCGAAAAAACCAAGAGTTGACCTTCGGGAGAAATGAAGTATCTAAGTGGAGAATGACCCTGTCTGGATGTATGACACACAAGTCCTCTCTGACTGACAAGGCCACCATCTCCGAAATCCTATGCGCCAAGGTGATCGCGGTCAGGAATACTGTCTTGAAAGTTAGGTGCTTCAGGTCACAGGTTCGAATGGGCTCAAACGGAGACTCAACCAGAGCCTGGAGTACCACATTCAACTCCAAAGTCAGATATCGATGAACGACCGGGAGCCGCAAGTTGGAGGCTCCCTTCAGGAAGCTGCGAACCTTGGAATGATTGTGGCCCTGCTCAAGCAATCCGCTTGGATATTGCTCACCCTGGAGATGTGCTCTGCTCGAAGAGACGATAGATGCTTCTCCGCCCACTTCCCCAGGCGCTCTGCCTCCGCCATCAGGGACTTGGAGTGAGTTCCCCCCTGGCGATTGACATGTGCCTTGTCCGTTTACAGCATCATGTGCTGGCCTTGGATGGTCGTCTGAAAGAGGAGAGCTAGTTTCGCCACCTTTCACTCTAGCCAATTTATGCTGTGCTTGAGATCGCTGTCGGACCACCTACCTTGGGCGACCTGATTGTCCAGATGTGCCCCCCATCCGAAAAGGCTGGTATCCATGGTGATGGTTAGGCAATCCGGCTCACAGAAGAGACTGCCCTTGGTCAGAGCAGGAGAATCCCACCAGGGACTGCTGGACCTTGAGGGAAACGGGGATCAGAGGAGGGGAGTTGCTCTTCTTGGCCCTTGGGTGGGGTAGAAGACACCATTGCAATTGTCGTGAAGGTAGTCTCGCCCAGGGCACTATCGATAGGCAAGACATCATCTTGCCCAGCAGTTTTGACAGCAGGATGATGGGCGGGGTCCACGAGGTTCTCATCTGAAGGATCAGTTTCATCTGAGGCTGGAGATCCGCTCCTGCGACAGACTTGGCAACTTACAGTGTCTTATTATGGCACCGAGAGGCAGCAACCTGGTGGTGGGAGTGAGATGGCTTTTGTCCGTGTTGACGGAGAACCCGTGGTCTTGCAGGGCTCTCATGGTCACCTGGAGGTCTCGGACCGCTTGCTGGCGGGACGGTGATTGTATGATGATGTCATCCAGGTATGCTTGTAGTCTCACTAGTCTCAGGGACGCTACCACAGCTGCCAGAATTTTTGTAACTGTCCTGGAAGCCGATGAGAGGCCGAATGGTAGCGCTCGGTATTGATAATGCGTCCCTGCATAGTGAAATCTCAGGAATCTGCGGTGGGCCTTGTGGACAGGGATGGGAAGGTACGCTTCTCGGAGATCTATTGATGTTAGTAGATCCCCTGGCCTGATGCAGCTCAAGATCGACTGGAGAGACTGCATTTGAAGTGTTACGCTAGATGGTAATTTAGTCTTTTGAAGTCTAATGTCCCCCGCCACCCTCCGGAGTTCTTTGGGAGAAGGAACAGGATCGAGTAAAAACCTGACCCCTCTTGACCTGCTGGTACTGGTTCTATTGCCCTGATCTCCCGAAGGTGCTGGATCTCTTGCTCCATTA